GGTTAGTTTTTTAGCGCCTTCGTTGCTTAATTGCTTGTGTATTTCATGTTTCAATTGTAACCTTAACTTAGGGTTTGAATGTGCAATTGTAACCTTCGCTAAGGGCTTGAATGTGCAATTATAGCCTTCACTTAGGGCTTGAATGTGCAATTATAGCCTTCGCTTAGGGCTTGAATGTGCCTTTAGTCAACATCGATGAGTGTCAATAGCTTTTGCTTAGGTCTTTTAGTGAACATCGGTTAGAATCATCAGGGCCTTCACTTAGGGCCTTTGTCATTTTGTTTTAAATAGCCTTCATTTAAGGCCCTTACTCAACTTATTCATTTAGTATCTTAGCGCTTTCATTGCTTAAAACGGTGTTTTCGTTAAAAGTGAAATTGTTTTCATGTTCACTTTTTTTTTCAAGTGTAAAATAACACATATAAGAGAGGAAGAAATGAGGAAAATAACGATGAAACAAGGCGAAATTGTGAGAACTTAGCATTGGCAATTGAGAAATACGTCATTCGCACAATAAAATTGAGAAATTCCGGAAAGCAATATGTCATTTGCACAATAACATTTGAGAATTGTGGAAAGCAATATGAACCATGAAAACTATTGTTAACCATAAAAAATGTGTTCAACGATACATAAACTATTGAGACTATTCTTAACTATGAACAAAGTGTCAAATGACACATAGCACTTGAAACTGTGACTAACCATTAACAAAGTGTTGAATGATATCAAACTCTGCATATTTAGAATGTTCACTCATGCTCGACCATCGACAAAATGTCAAATGTTGTTCTCTGCCTCATCTATGGGATGTTCTTTTGCGAGAAATCGAATGGTGGAAAGTGACCTTTCGCTAACAAAGATGCAAAACCTAACATAAAAACACCACAACTGCAACCGTCATGTTGGACAGGCACCCCATCAAGTGATGTCTCGAAAGGTGTCGCAAACTCATCGACGTGATATCCTTCATGAAGATTCTGACGTCTGAACTCCATTCTAAAAAATGCGCCTACTACTTCCAGCGCTGCAAGGCGGTCGCCGTGAGGGAGAGAGTCTAATAGTTGGAATTCACACTTGCAACCGTTTATTCTAACACATGCCAAAGTCCAGTGGTCTCCAAAGTTCAAAGGGATAAGTACAAAGTTACAGTCGAAAATATTTCTTCCCCTAACCGACTTCATTCCCTTACAGTAAGCAATTTCTCTGGACGTTGCGGATACCATCCTGACATTGAAAAAATAATCTAAAATATACACAGATGGAATGTCCTTCTGACTCTCGCCTTTAATCTGCCCTCTAGACATCAAATTCTCTCTGGCATTATCATTGTCGATCTGGATTGCCACCACATTTTTCACCTTTCAGTCACCCTTGTAAACAACAATGTCGTATTCTTTGTTTTCTTCATCGGTCCTCACAACCCTTTCAACATATTGCATCTCGACCTCAGTGAGGGGTTGCGTTGCTAGAGGAATTGTGAACGACCGGTCAGGCACTGCATAGAAACACATAGGTAAACAACAACGGTATGTCTAAGACTTCCATACAAGTAGTGCCTTTATGAAAATAGATATAAGAAGCGGACACAAAGTTCATGACGGTGCTTGTTTGCCAACTTCGTTGTCGCTGCCGCTTTCCACAACAAATACAGTGCAAACTACACGGTGCAATTTCTTCCCTTGTTTCGTCTTTATTCCTACAACTTTAAACATCCTTAAAGCAGTTGGCCTCACAAACGAAATCATAACAGACTGCGCTCGCCTTCTAACTGTTTTGGGTAACAACGACAGCGTTGACAAGGCTTGCAAACCACGACGTATAGTATTATTGTCACTGTTCCTTTGCGAGTGCACGCGAGGGGCTTTCCATAGTCCTTTACGCAGACCTGCACGTTCATCAATGTAGAGAGCAGAATCATGACTGATAGTAACGAGTAATATGAGTAACGATCATTTTGATATCATTACAAATCCGCTAAAACAACATGAATGTAAATTAATATTAATAGCAGTAAAGTATTGTGAATCAAACTATTAAAAGTCGATCGTGTACTTCATTTACCGATTCGGACGCACTGTAAGGCACACTACATATATGTAAATAAACATGGAACAGTTCCAATGCACAACAACATGCAAAACCAAAAAATCATTTCTCGTTTTAGGTACAATATTACACATAAATTAACTTCGTAAGGTAAGTGCTCACCTCGGCGACTAACTGCGGTTTTCCCTTGAGCAACGTCTTCTTTTGCATCTCCGAACTGTCTTGATGTGAGAGGGGATTCCTCGATGTTTATCATTTTGACAGATGGGCTGGACTGCTGCACAAGAGTTCGAAGTGTACTTTCTCGTCCTTCCTCCACAGGTGTCTGTTGCTCTGGAGTAGTCAGTACAATATGTCCTTCATCCTCTTCGATGTCTGTCTCTTGAATTGCTTATTTCGTCACAAGCCCCTCAAGAGTGTCGTTCTTCCCAGCAGTATCGAATACAATAGGCGAATCCTGAGACCCTCCGGTACCAGTATCGAAGTCGCTGCCAGGGATGTCTTCATCAAATGGACTGTTAGGCTCGCCGCGCGGTTCCATCTCCTCCGCAAGCATAGCTTCCTCCTGGTAGCCTGTTACAGTACCCGCCTCCTTATACCCTCGTTGTGCCTTCTCCTCTGATATCGGACTTTGAAATTCTGCAGGAATCTCTAAGTCGCCTCTGAGTGTCTTTTCATCAAGTGGAGTGTGAGCCTCGAGTTGCTGTTCCGTTTCCGCCAGATACATGGTTTCATCCAATGATGCCCTCAACCGCCCTTGGCTTCCCAACCCATATGGCAAAATATCCAGAGACATCCACATATGGCCTTGTGGGCTACCAATATTGCCCTTCTCGCCAACGGGGAAGACACTTGCGCCGCTGCCATCACACCATTCATTATCTGTCACAGTGACACCTGTGAGTGTTGTGGTCACACTTTGCCCACCTTCACATCCTTCGTCAACCTGTTCCACTGCAGTAGACAGCTTGACCTGTGACAAACCACGAATGTCGATATGGTCTCCTACACCACTGACGCTTCCCTCATGGTGACGATAGGCTTGCCCTTCTAATGTGCCTGTTGTTGGATGACTATACCCAGGCGTTTCTGATGTTCCTCCACCCTCACCACTCCCTCCCTTATCACATCCTCCATCGTCACCTCCGCCCTCGTCACCACTTGGGTGTTCACCTCCCTCCCCACTCGCTCCACCGCTAGGGCCTTGTCCCCTTTTCCCACCGGTCTCGTCGCCCTCATCAATGCGCCAGTTATATCCAAATGCCGGACTTGTTTGTCTGTCATAAAATTCTTTCAAGTACTCAAGTCTTCACAATGCCTTGAGCTCCTGAAAAACCTCGTTCGTCCTTATGTCTACTCTCGATGGAGAAACATTTGGATTGAGTCGAGCAAGCCGCTGCCTGATCTGATTTTTTGCATGTGCATAAAATCGTGATTGCGCCATACGCCGGTAGGAGCAAAATTGCCACTGCCCATCTTCTTTGATTGCCATCACTCATTTTCCTTTCGCCAATGCAGGTTGAAAATGTCCTGGATGCCACATGACGTCGTGACCCCACTTATCAGCTTCCATCCTCGTATGATCATCTCGACAAACGATAGGCCCCGCCAATTGGACGACGTCCGCAGGGATCGTATCCCCGATCTCATACTCGTACTCCAACTCCTCTGCAAGTGCTGCTTGTGTGGTTCGAGAAAGAAGTTGTTCCAACAAAGCAGGGCTTTATGCTAATCCTTGGAAACTTGATATTAACTCGGGAGAGGCATCAACGCTGAACAAAACTCTGAAGGCCGCTGCTGGATCGGACACCATTCCCGCAGATGATGACATTCCTGCTACCAAAGGAGCGGTGCCGGCAGGAGGTGTACCTACTGGAAGAGTCATCCCACCGGCAGGCACGACACCAGAAGTACCAATTGAAGGAGTCCTTGATGACGTGCCTATTGTAGCCATCTTCTGAGAAGAAGAGGGAGTGACCTTTTGCCTTTCACTTGCCAAAGCTGCTTGCAAAGTACCATCGACACTTTCCTCTTCAGAGTCATCACCATTCAAGTGTTCCCCCTTTGGAAAGCAAGTCGTGTAGGCAGCAACCGTGAAAGCACCGATTTGTGCATTAAAGTACATGACTTCCAACCTGTCGAGGAACGCAATCTCTTTGTCGGAAGAAGCTTTGTGATAACCTCGTAGAAGGGCCTCAACTATCCGCTTGCGAGTATTATATGTACAGTCTCCCCTATTTTCTGGCCGGATCTGAAAAAGGAACTCCCAGATATTTGCCATATTTTTACCGACCTTGTGCACGAAATCACGAGCTTCGTCATGGCGAGGTGGTGGCTTGATGAATTTTGCTGGATACTTTTGAGTGTCGACCATCGTGTTCAGATATTGCACAAGGAAGTCAAATTTCATGTCCTCGCTTTCTAAGACAATGCAATGGCGATGACTTTTCAATAGCTCCCACACCAAAGCCGCATGACCCTTCCCATGAAACATTACAGCTTCATCCGCTGGACAGAAATGCTCCAGCATCTCGACCATTGCGTTCGGCTCCCTTTCCATTCCTTCATACACGACTTTCTCTTTCGGCTCCGTACCCGCACTTTTCCGCTTCGTTGGCTGAAAGTTTTTCTCTCGTACGTCCGTCAGCAACTTCGGTTTTCGCTCCCGCCTCGCAAGTGTCAAAGTGTCAGTTGCTTGTGAACTGGAAGACCGTTGTGTTAGTTGGATATCTTCAAACAAAGAAATTATGCTGCGATGATATTCCCCATCATTGGAGGACATAATGACCACTATCCTGTCCGTGTCCTCTATTGGCAAATTTGCAACCTTATAGGGATGCCAAACCTTCTGCTATTGTGGCCGAGTCCACTTGGCGATAGACATGTGAATATCCCATTGCACGACCCGCCTCAAAAACGTCAGCTCGCACGACCGAGGAATGAAGCATACCAATGTTCAATACTTCCTTCCCACCATTTCCATAAACCTCCAGACTCCCTCAAAAAACGCCTCGGTCCACTTGGCCGTTTGAGTTGGATGGCACAAATCAAGCACAACGGTGTGACAAGTCAGATTCCGGATGACCCTATACATCTCGTCACGATCTACATTATCTGAGATTTCACTAGGTTTCCATTGGAAAGACACAAAAACAGACATCACGTCCTGTTTTATGAAGTGTATATATTTCGCTTGTTCCGACAAGCGAATGCTCTCCGAACCTCGCATGGCTGACCTGTGCAACAACCTCTCTACAAAATGTCCGAACTCTCGAGGGCATTTGTCAGCCCGAGATTTGGTCTTCTCAAAACCTTGCTCCCCTTTCTCATCATCTCCGCCCAACATTGGAGGAAATGATTTTATCCATTGCATGTCCTTGAAATGTTGCCTCTGATCAACCCATCTCTCGTAGGTAAGGCCCTAATCGCGAGATTTCTCGAATACTTCCACGAGGTCCATGAAGAAAGGTTCTCGCCAATCGGACGGCTTCTTCGCTACGTTTAAAATGAAAACGAAGTAGTGGAATATTTTCAACATTGCTCTCTCCGTCTTCACAACTTCAACATATGATTCCATCGAATGCATCCCAGCATCTTTTGCAACTTTGCTTTGTTTAGGAGTCAATATAACCGCACCTCCCAACACATCGCGCAAGAGCTGCAGTCGCTGACGTCTCCCCAAATTGGAAAGTGATTTCCATGATCTAATATCGGGATCATGGACCGGAACGAGGTAACCTCGGCCTTTTGTGCCCTGTATCTAATGCACTGGAACTCAAGATCCACCCTTCAACTCGTAACCGGGATATGACTTCTGAGCTTTCCCTGCTTCACCCAGTTTGGTGGCAGGCTTCACAGCGTCTCTTCCTGGCAGATGATCGCGTTTCCAAGCCGCGTAAACTTTCATCATAGCATCGTACACATCGGTCGATGCCCTAGCCAAGGTCATGTAAGGACCAAGGGCGTCGGACCATGCCGCACTCCACGGCTGTTGGATTGACATATCAACGTAAATCTGAATGCCGGTCGTCCTGAGTGCCTCCCCTGCAAACTTTCTATAAGCCGCATTTTTCTCTTCAGCCCCCTGCCCGCCTTTCGCTTCAGGACAAGCAGACGCGTTCCACAACTTCCTGATGGCCCGAACCACGAAGCTTTGATGAGGTGGAGTGTTCCACTTGTCCTTTGCGTTCTGGAATGTGTTCAACGTCCCATACTGGTCCATGAACTGGTCGGGATAGTATACAGGTTTGGTTGTCCATGTATCCAGCCGCAATTCATTCGCCACGGCCTGATTTTCGCGGAAACATCTTCTTGCTGCTGCTACGTTGTGTTGACCACTGATTGGGTACCAGAAGTATTGTTCGAGTGATGTCTCGTCGAACTCATCAGGAGTGACTCGCGTTGCGCGCACAACTTTACCCGACGGATCTGTATGCAGCTGGTCATGGAGCGCAACTAGCAACAACACCATCCCGCCTGTTTTTCTTTCACGAATAGCCGCTTCGCCTGATGTGACCATCGCTTGGTAAATATCGTTGACAAGATTCTCGTCTAGAAATCTTTGATTATACCTATATTCGTCATCAGGAAGATCCAAAATCTGTGCGAGATCGACCGTGATGAACTGCGTCGTGCTCTTCTGGGTACCGTCAGCATCGAAGTCCAGAAAGTACCCTTTCCCGAGATGCGACGTCACAGGCTCAGTTGATGGCAGTTGCAATGTAGACGGCCTGGTTGCTGTCTTGCCTTTCGCCTCGTCGCCGGACTGCTGTTGTTCATAGGGAGGAAAAATAGCCGTCTTCGCCATAGTACCACCCTTTGCTGCTTTCTTTCTCCGTTCCGACTTTTGTCTCATAGCAGCTGCAGCGTCACGTTCACTTTGGACTGCCTCGTCCATTGACATTGGCAGCACTTGTCTCTTGCCTCTCTTTTGGTGCAAGTTTTTTTTCCTATCTTCCCTCGCTTTCCTCTTCTTCTTTGTAACAGCCGCGGGGATCAAGGAAGGTGTTATCTCTTCTCTTCTCCCCTCTTCTTGACTTCTTCTTCTTTCCTGCTTTCTCCTCTCCTGCATAGATCCTTCACCGGTTTCCTTCTGCGGCTTGTCCCCATACCACCCCTCATCGTGTTCCTCCAAATCTTCGTAGTGCTCCTCACCAGGACTGTCCCTTCCGCCCACGTCATGCTGCACTGGATTCAACATCTGTCCCCATCCACGACGCTCTCGATCAGTAATTGTATTCTCACCATCGTTCCCCTCTTGAGAACCTTCCTCTTCCTCTTCCTCTTCCCTCTGTGCACCTTCGCCACTGCTCCCCTCTCCTGGATCACCAAAATACAAAGGCTGCACACCACGGTGCACATCACCTATGTCATGTAACATGGACAGTGGCGCTTTCACTCCAACCGAACGGAATTTCTTGGGAGTCGGTGGCGCAGCCTGAGCCTGAGTCGGGCCCTTGGTAGCGATTTGTCCCGCTCGAGGAACCACCGGCGTGGATAGGAGAGTGTGTTGTGTCTCTTGCGGCGGAGCCTGACCATGAGCCCGACCCTTGGCAACGATTTGTCCCCCTCGTGGGACCACCAGCGTGGATACGAGAGCGTGTTGTCTCTCTTCCCGGACAGCGGGCGTGGTCACTGCTGGCTGGCGAATCGTTATGGCACCCACAGTTGGACGTGCCGATGACAGAACACATTTCGGTTACGTAATAGTGTCATCTTTGTGGGCCACTAGACGATAGCCCTCCACCGAATTCGTGTCGAAGAACGCGAGAACTTGGCGGAGGTCGGGTAACCGGATTTCCCTACCCGGATCAGGATTGAAAACATCCACAAGTGACTTACCATATCCTTTGTGGTTTCTCCACGTGAGAACTACATGGTTCGTCCCTGAAACTCTGTGGCCTTTGCCGTTGAGTTGCATGGTTAACTCGAAAGTGGCGAATTGACCATTCCTCCCTGGCCAAGATCGAATACCCTATCGGTCTAATATCTTCTCTCAACACCACGTACAATAACAAACCACTTCCAACCTGCCCCGCCTCGCCCACCCAGTCCAACATCCATAATTTATCTTTGTAGTTTATGATGGGAACTTTATCTGGCTGTCCATGCATATACCTCTCCCCTGAACCTGCCTGCCGCACTGTATCTTGTGTGTGGGTCCGCTGACCACCACCAGACCCTCGACCGCTCGGACCACCACCAGACCCTTGACCACGGCCACCAGACCCTTGACCGCTCCCCACAGTCCGGACATGCTGTTCGTCACCCCTGCCTTGACCACTCGACGGATCCAGACGAGATGTAACCCGCTGCACAGGCCCTTGACCAAGACCACTGGACCCTCGACCACTCCCCACCGTCCTGACGGTCTGCTCGCCAGCACTGCGGCGACCAGACGGGTCGCCCGAATGAGGCGTACTGTGCTGTGTAGGGGTCTGCATAGCGGAGCACGACGGTCGGCGCTGTGCAGTCCCCCTAGATCCCGGCGTCTCGGGTTTGTCAACCCCAGCAACAGGGGTTCCCTTAGACTTTTTAGGCGAGTTGTCGACACCCGCACTGCTTTGGCGTCGTGAGCGTTTGCCTTGTCTCTCTGAAGAATCCATCATGGATAATGCACGACGGAGCTGTAAATGTCAAGCTGCAATATGCCAGTACCAACAGGGTAGAAGAACGAGAAAGAACAGGGTGAGCAATCAGGAAGCAACACTACCCAAGCTGTGTACAACACTAACACACACCAACACACACAGACACACTAACACACTCAGACACACACACTGCTGCTGGTTATCGTGTTAAACATGATAACCGCCCGGGTTATCGTGTTCTACACGACCGTCGAATACACACACACACGCACCGGGTTATCGGGTTCAACACACTCCGCCGCCGGTTATCGTGTTCAACACGATCATCGCACACACAGACACGCACACACACGCACACTCCGCCGCTGGTTATCGTGTCGAACACGATAACCGACGCGGATTATCGTGTTCAACACGAAGGTCGCGTACACACACACACGCACCAACGCAGTCAGACACACACAGCGGCGGTTCAACGCGATCGTCGCATACACAAACACGCACAGTCAAGGTCCCACCACGGTTTGAGCACACGACGCAAAGGACCCTACAACAATGAAACTTTCCAAGACGCAGTCTAACGGAGCAATACGAAACTGTTCGAGGCAACAACCCAGGAGAGCGCAAGGGGTACTCGTCGATGAAATCGGAATGCTTTGCACAAGTAAGCAACTCGTGTTTCAGCGAACGGGACCATGTGCGTGGCGAAGTAGTCACGATGTTGCAGTCCACAAATTGTAACGACGGTTGAACCGCAGCTTGGTACTCAAGTGACGGCAATGAACAGAACAGAGCACAACAGCGGGCACAGGAATGAAACTCCCGAACTCGCACATATTCGCGAATTTGTAGTCGTCCGCACAAGGGCAGTCCTTGACCATTTTCTCCCAAACATAATCCTTCCACAAGTCCAGGTGAGTGTCGTAGAACGGAACGACCGTCATCCACGGATCACTCTCGAAATCGTCTCTTGTCGCACCGTTAATGACAGTGGACTCTCCACACCCGGAGACACGCAGCGAGCATGGGGGGAAGGGGTATGCAATGCGTTCGCGCTGTCGGTGCGAATACCCTTACAAGGGTATCCGCCCTGGTTTTTGCAAGCGACAAAAATTAGTTCTGGTTTAAAGTTTAAGTATACCGCGCTAGGCGCGGCTGCGCCTGTGATTTGCGCTGACTGGATGGTCGACTAGGATAGAGTGTGTGGGCGCGCAAACTTGAGGCGCGCATGATTTTATTTATTGATGACTGAAGAGCCGGCGTGATTGCCGGTCAAATTTTTATTTATTTATTTATTTCTGATTTAAAACTAGGATTAAATGATATGGTAATTTTGACTTGGTATGTTTAACCGAGACAACCACGCGTGCGTGGAGGACGACGTCAACAGTGACAGTGCGACTTTTTGCGGTAAGTGGAGTGTGCGAGGAAAAAGAACGCGTGTAGGTCTTCGTGCGGTAGATACGAGTTAGTGGGCGTGGAGTGTTGACGACGAGGTGCGGCCATTCGAGGCCTTGGAGTGCGTGGTGTCAAGGGCTTATTTCTGTCCCTATTTTTATTTTCATTTTGTTTGTTCTCCTCGAGCCAGGCGTGACACCGCATTGCAGGGGCTGTTGACGGGTTCGCCAGTTTAGTTTGGCTAGTGCGGCCCCAGACCTTGGACTGCATGCCGAGGCTTGAGCGATAGTCGGGGACCTTGAGCACGCGTCCCTTTCGGTTTACCTCCGGGGCTCCTACATGTTTGGGACGCTGGCGGAATTTCTCTGCCCGCTTGTCTTGAGATAGACGTGGACCGAGGAGTTCAATGTGCATGCAAACCGGTGGGTGATTAGCCGATGAGGCGGGGTAAACCTGGGCGGCGGATGCCGTTTATGGGTGCAGCGTCCGCCGACCGCTGTGGCGGGCCTGAGTGTGAGTATGCCCGCCCAGGCCTGCAAGGTGATGAATTATGCTTGGGCGGGGCCAAAACACACTAGTAGAGGCTGAGGCAGTATTGGCTATGCGGCCCAGTCTGATCCGGCGGCAGGCCAGACTACTAGCATACTACCGCCAAGATCTGCGTTGAGACCCGCTTTGCCTAGGCATATGCTGAAGGCATTGCAGCGGGGCCCAGCGCACTTCTGCAAGTGAAACACAGGCTAGCACCAGACGGGGCACGGTGGGGAGTCTCACAACGGTACCACCGTGCGGCTCATCCAACAGGCTGGGTTATAGGGGCGGAAGACTAATCCTACCGTCTAGTAGCTGGTTCCCACCGACGTTTCTCGCACAATAGCTGAAGAGCAACCTATCTGGCCGCTGCTAGATCTGTCGGGCAGGACGGAGCAACCGGGGCAAAGTTAGAAGGGCAGAGAGGTCCTGAGCGAGGAAGTTCGGAGGGCAACGGAGCGCAGAGGCAGCGGAGTGAAGGGAAAACGTGGATGAACCGGGACGACATAGCATGCCGGATGCGTCAGGCAGCGGAGAATGGTGGATGGTGAGCTAAGGCGCAGTGGAGCTAAGGCTGTGGGGCGCTGTCGGGGCGAGTGCAGTCGAGGTCGAAGTGGGAGTGACAGCGGGGAAATGGGAAGGAACCTGGACGCAGGGGCGCCAGGTACATCCGGCGTCGAGAATGAAGGAAGGCGAGAGAGCCGGAGATGGAGTAGAAGCAGGCGAAAAGGGAGGAGATGAGGCCAGTAAAACTGGCCGAACGTGGACATGGACCCCGCCGGGTGCATTCACTGCAGGAGAGTGATGGCGGGGAGACAGGTAGGGCGCAGCCAAGCAGGGGGTGGCATGCATGTTTGACGACGAGGGCAGATGTCGGGGGCATCCGGGAATAGAGAGGGAGCGGAAGTGCTGAAGCAGTGAAGCAAGCGGGCGTGGAAGCAGTAAAGGAAAGGCAACGTAAAAAGAAGGTGAGTGAACCCGGCCGGGATTTTGCGCCGGGTACATTCGAGTGAGCTATGGTAGAAACGAGCGTAGGCGGGAAGGGGCGGAGAACGAAGGCACCATCCGATTCTGGATGATATCGGGCGGGGAGAGAGTTAAATCTGAGGTTATGAGTCGAGGCGAAATGAATGGCGGAGGTAGTTTTGATGTAGGATTAGTAAAAGGGCAGTTAGTAGGAAAAAGTCGTGCGCGGAGGCATCCGAAGATGGATATGGCCGGGAGCGAAGGTCGAATATCTCGCTCGTTTCTAGGTGAAATCGAGCGAGAAAAGACTCGTTTTGGAGGTTTCTAGACATGGCGAGTTAGATAGCGCAGTTAGTTTTGTCAATAGAGGGTTGTGTAATGAGGTAGGAGAAAGAAGGTTATGTGGAGATGGTGGGGAAAAAGAAAGAGAGAAGCCAGATACTCGGATCTCACCCGGTTCCTAATGAAAACGGGTGATTGAAGGCACATTTCGGGGGGGTTCCTGGCTGCTGCGAGTCAGGTCGTAGGATTAGATCCGCGCTGGTTCGGGCAGTGTGACTGGTAGGAGTTGCGCCAGGATAAGAAAAACCGAAAAATGTCGATGAACCTGTCCTCGTTCTAGCGGAAGATTCATTCTTATTTGTGTGTTGGAATGAACGTAATATAGAGGTAGGTGCGGAGGAGTGCGAAGGCGGACGACGGGGAGGAGACTACACAGGGAGATAGACAAGCGATGGACGTCAGCGGGAAGCAGCGCAAGGTGTGAATGAATCCGGACATGAACCGCGTCAGGGTGCATCCGGTGAATATGGTGGAGGAGAGAACCCGTGTCGAGGGCTGGAGGGAGAGGCATTCGCTGAGGTATCATTACAGTATCTAGAGTGACCCCTAAGCTATCATCAATGTTTTTGTTCGCCATCGATGTACTCACTGCCCCTGTTTTTCATAATGGGAGCTCGCGGGCTC